GCTGGCAGGGGTAAGACCCTGCTCCCTCAACTCACTAGCGTTAGGTTAGAATACTAAGACTCAACTAGGACCAGATAGGTTATAGTTCAAATTGAATGTGTGAGCGTAACTTGAAGAAGGAGAGTCATGACACGGCACATTTAGGTTGGTCAATCAATGATGTGCATTGGTCCACCACGGGCAAGGATCGTGTACCGTCCAAGCTAGCGAAAGTCCGACAACATGACTCAAAGAAACAACAGTCGGAGATACGCCCGAGTGGATCACCTCTAACCCTTTCCGAAGTCGGGTTGGACGCACCTTCACCGCGAGTGGTAATTAATCCTTCACAATGATAGAGAGCACTGCACGACGAGATGGGGTGAACTTTTGGTTCGACGGTCTTCGGGCCAATTGAGCAGGCTGTTTAAAGCGATGGTCTATGAGTCCAATTGCCAGGAGTTATTCTCTCGGAGAATTCATCCAAGCTGTCGCCCATTATTTCGATTCAACTCTGCCATTGACTTTTCCAAAGCTCTACCCAAAAGCTCTGACGATGTCTATTGTTAGAGTCGACGCCGAGGCCCCGAGGGTAGCCTTAGAAGATGCCGTGAGCATCGCTGCCAAAGGGGGCATAAAGCTATCAGACCAAATGGCAACGGACTTTGTTACGCTTGTCAGCGGGCTGGAAGCCGTGATTTCCAACTTGCCGGACGACAGCTGTGTCATTCCCATTCCCGACCTGAAAAAATATCCAAGAACTGATATCCAGGTTCCCCAAGACAACGATCTCGGCGGCTGGGCAGCAAAGGTCAGAAGTCCCCGTTGTTCGCATCGTGTTTACACAAGCTCTGTATTGATGAGGGAGACTAATAACGCCAATAGGTCACTGCTAGATGCACAACTCCCACTGGCAATTTGCTCAAGGGCCGAACGATCGCATTGAAGGACAATATAGCGTTCGCTGGAGTGCCCTGTACTAACGGAACATCGATGGTAGAGTGGACACCAAAAATCGATGCCACCGTTGCAACTCGCGTAATGGATGCCGGCGGCATTATCGTTGGCAAGGCTGGTAAGATGAGCCTCGCACCACCCAAGCCAGGCCGCTACATATGGAAACTCTCTTTGCTGATACATAAATATCAGCGTGCGAAAATGCCTGTTTCGAGGGTCTTTCGGTGACCTCTGTCACCGGAAATGTGCATAATCCTTGGGCTAAGGGATACAGTGCTGGTGGATCTAGCAGCGGCTCCGGCCGTCTTGTAGGGGCCGGTGTTGTTGACATGTCCATCGGCTGCGACCAAGCTGGCAGCATCCGAATCCCCGCGGCCTCCTGCGGAATCGTCGGACTGAAACCGACGTGGGGTCTGGTGCCCTACACGGGCATAATCAATCTGGATGCTACGATTGACCACGCGGGGCCGATGACACGCACGGTGCGGGACTGCGCCTTGCTCTTGGAGACGATTGCCGGCCCAGATGGATGGGATGACCGACAGGCTTTACTGGGGCGCAATGACCCGAGGCTGACTTTTGTCGAGCCTGTTGACCAGATCGTATCGAGGCCACAGGGCGAGATGCTGAGTGGTATCAAAATCGGAATTCTCCAAGAGGCCTTCCAGATTGATGGCCAGGACGAAAACATTGTCAAGTCTGTCCAAGCCGCCGTGGAGAAATTCAAAGTTCTCGGCGCAGAGGTGTTGCCGGTTTCTATCCCGGAACACAAATTAGCATCCCTTGTCTGGATGAGCTCGATCTCGCTCCCTGGCGGACGGCAAGCCTTGTTGGGCGGGATGGAAGGAAGAAAGCAGTTATACATGACTGACCGATTGGCGTTGGTTGGTCCCCGTCTTACCCAGCAGCAATTTGACGCTCTCGGCCCCGGAGCAGCTAACCTGTACCTCAACCATCTATGGCTCTCGGAGAAGCATGGATTGTCGCATCAGGGGAAATGCATGAACCTCCAGAAGTTCATCAGCGTAGGCCACTCTCTCCCAGCTGTTGTTTGTCTCGAACTGTACTGACATTAGTTCAGGACGCTTATGACAAGGCGCTGCAAGAGTTCGACGTCTTAGTCATGCCTACGTTGCCACACCCGGCTCCGAAACTTCCAGAGACTGGCTACGAAGAGGGTTTGCTGAAGTTTGCGAAGAGGACAACGGGCATGGTAGCCAACACCTCGCCATTCGATAGTGAGTCTTTCAGCATTCCAAGACGACATGTGGCGACTAATAAATAACCCAAAAGACTCTGGGCACCCTGCTATCTCGATCCCAGTGGGCTTTGTTCCTGCCAGAGAAGATGCTAATGTCAAGCTTCCTGTTGGACTACAACTGGTCGGTCGGAAATATCAGGATGTGGATTGCTTGAAGGTCGCAGCTGCCTGGGAGAGAGCATATGACTGGAAGAACTTGTAGGAATGAGGTGTAACGCCATATCCAGAACACTCAACATAAGAACACCATGACGTATTTCGAGATCCCCTTCCACTGTAAAGTATTTGAGGGCTGTGATTCCGAAAAGACTAGCTTTTATGATCCAACACCCTACTTAGCAGGCCCCGGTCACGTACTTTATATAGAGACGGCACCTGTTAGTTATGCCACAAGTAATTAGTACATGGTAGGACTAGGGCACGATCATAGCTTATAAATACTTAAGGGGAAAACAGATTTCAGTGCAAAGTTGATCAAGTGTCGAGAGCTGAACTCAGGTGAGGTAGAAGACGGCTGTGTCACAGCGTCACTCTTCGGGTATCGCCGCGCTCGGAGGTCAACCACGGCCTACGAGGCCGCTAGGTTTGCACTGTATCCAGGCGCCACTAGAGGACGATTTAGCCCCTGTAGCTTATTTTTCTGCGCCCTTAGCCAATTAGTACTAATAGTTATCAAGATCCCTCTTCTCCTTCATTCCAATTGTTTGGACCTTGGATTCGGAAAGGCGGGAAACACCTCCAGCATCCAGCACCGATAACAAAGAATCGTTGATTAGCTCTGCGACGGCTAGTTTAAAGTCATCCTATTCTGCACGGCTCTTCGACAATCATTGCTAGAATGGTAAGCGCCTCCTTGGAAGCGCCTTGGGTGCCCATCGCCCGTCGCAAGCAAGCTGATCGGGATGCATGCATCCCATCAGAGTGGCGCATACCTTCCTCCTACTTGCCTAAAGACCCTCCGCACTTTGAGGATGGACCTCAAAGTGTACTAGATGTTCCTTCAAAAGTCTTGTCTGCAGAAGAAATCGAGATCACCGAGGCCTACACCGTTGCCACACTCCTCGAGGTGATAGCACGCAAAAGATTCTCCGCCGAGAAGGTGATAGACGCCTTTTGCCATCGCGCAGCAGTCGCGCAGCAGTTGACGAACTGCTTGACAGAGCCCTTGTTCAAACAAGCCGCAGAACGATCGAGGTTCCTGGATCGATACCTGGAAGAGCACGGGACCACTCTCGGGCCATTGCATGGCTTACCGGTCACTGTCAAAGATACATTCGATATACAAGGAGTCGATAGCTCCACGGGTCTGACGGCATTGTGCTTCAAGCCGGCAGTCAAGAATGCGCCTCTAGTGGATCTCCTCTTGTCGCTTGGGGCAGTCATTGTGGCCAAGACCAATGTGCCGCAGACGCTGTCGAGTCTTGATAGCATAAACAACGTCTTTGGCAGAACTATGAACCCCATCAACCGGCTGTGCACTGCTGGTGGGAGCTCGGGTGGGGAGGGTGTTATGATCGCGATGAAGGGCTCTCTCATCGGGATTGGCACAGATCTTGGTGGTAGCGTAAGGATTCCAGCCATGGCGAATGGAGTCTATGGTCTCAAACCCAGCAATTCGAGGTTACCATATGGCGGACAAGCCGTTTTGGTTGCCGACGGCATGATGAGGTCAGGTGTGCAACCCGTGGCAGGCCCGCTGGCGCGGAGTATCGACGATATCAACTATGTCATGAAAGAGCTGGTGCCACGGAGCAGTCTATGGGGGGAGGATTGCGTGTTTGGCCAGTGGACGGATGCTCAAGAACCTCTGCAAGGGGTAGGAACAAACGGGGAGGTTGTCATCGGTGTGCTGCGATGTGATGGGAACTGCACCTTGTTACCTCCTGTGGACCAAATTCTTTCTGAAGTCGCATCAGTCCTGGGACAGCATCCCAACTTCAAGGTGGTCGAAGTCCCTACTCCAGCAGCTTGGACACAGTCACCAAGTGTCATGAACAAGCTGATTGGTATCGACGGTGGAGTCCTTATGGGAGAGCTTTTGGGGTCCATGCAAGAACCACTAGTTCCTTGGATGCAATCCAGGTTCAAAACCAGTGAACCCTGCCAGCTTACAGAAGTGGCCCAGTTACAAGCTCGACGTGCAGAACTTGAGTGCGAGATGCTCCAGATTTGGTCAGAAGTAGACCAGTATGGCAAGAGAACAAGGAAGCTCGATGCCATCATTTGCCCCGTGGCACCGCACCCTGTGCCCGAGATAGACAGATACAACACCACAGACTACACGAGCGCATTTGTCATGTTTGATTATCCCGCAGGCACTATTCCCATCAGGGACGTGGTCGAGCAAGATCTGCACCTGGGACAGTCACTTGGGGGGATGCCGCTGAGTAGCTCGGACGATCGGTGCCGAGAGCTATGGGACGGGAAACATGTCAACAGAAAAGTATACCTGGGCACCCCGTTAAGCATACAAGTCGTTGTGCCGCGACTCGAGGATGAGAAATTAGGAAGAGTCATGGCCTTGATAGATGGAGCAGTGAAGTGCCACCATGCCCTCCACAAGCTTCTAAAATCAGATTGACAAGATGGTCGCGTAGTAAAACGTCAAAAGTTTGCAATCTTATTTGGCTATCGTTAAGTATGACATGGTACCACAATGTCCAATATTCTACCCGGCCCACTGACAGAAGTAACTCAGGGGATAGTGTTACAAGTTCGAGAATTGGAACGATCTGGTAGTGACTCTGTAGCTAAGGTAGGTAATTAGCGCACTACCGGATAGAAACCAATTAATGTATCGTGGCTATAGCAGATAGCTTGACAAGAGGAGTCAACTTCCGCGTCTGCAAGCTTGGTAATGTATTCATCTTGGCAGCGATAATAGTGCACCACGATTCGTACAAATCTGAGGCGTCGTTGGAAACCAGAAAGCCCACATCACCTATCTGGTGTGATAAGGTCGATATTGATGCAACAGTTTAAGGGTTCAAGACGAGCAGATGGGGGAGGAAGAGGCCGCCAAGGTTCAGGCTCTGTGTACCTGGTAACAAACCGACATACCTCTCGACGTGTCGAGTAGGGATGTATCCGAGATACGGCTATCTGTAACCAGGCGTACTCGGACCGCCATCGAGGTCATTCCCGGCACGATAACCTAGAATGCTCTCGATTGGATTTACTCCGAGGCTTCATCTTACATTTGGAAGCAAGATCAATGTCAAAGTGTTGTCTCAATTGAGAGACAGGCATCGGATAAAGGAAGTCGCAGATCTCCGTCACTCTTGAGGGGCAGGGTGAGAACTCAAGCCTCCAAGGCCATTAATAAAATGAACAGGTCTAAGTTGAGTTGGCGCAAGATCTCAGATCCACATCAAGAAGCCCCCCGGAATGTGTTGCTGTAGTGTTGCTTTAGTGTTGCTTTAGTGGATTTAGAGATGGCCGAACATCAGTCTCCGCCCGCAAATGTCCGACTCTCACCAATCTTCGATGCTCGCAAATCTCCGTCACTCGAAATCTTAACTTCTCTACAACTGTAGTTGTTCTACCTAAGTCTTTATCGCTAGTGAACGCGCACAGCCGCGACTCTCTTCAGTGAAATGTCACGACGGTTTGGCCCTTGTCAAAAGTTGCCTTAGGGACCCTCTAGTCGACCTCTATCTATCACCGTAAACCAGACCTTACATTCGAATCGGCAATGAAAGAGTTAATTTTATACATATAGCGCCATATAACCATTTGATGAACCAACTTATTACCAATCTATTCAATTTCCACCCACCAGCAGGTTATCATCAAATTAGGAACACTCCTATCGAGCCTCAATTGATAGCTCACCACTTGAGGTGTCTTCTTGCACGCCTGGACACAGTGTTGCAACCAACACTTACTCCACCAGCGAGAAAATGGCAGAGCCTACTACTAAAGAACAGCCTGCTCGGCCTCTTGAGGTTTCACGAGTTGAAAGTACCAACATCGGAGACGTCGAAAATCACATCAGTCTTCCCGTGGAGAATCTCGTTTACGACGACGTCGATGAAGAGCCGGTCGTCCATCTTCGAACATGGATCGCGCTGGCCTCCATGTTCCTGATGAATTTCGTTCAGACATTTGCACTCCAAGGCCCTCCCTCCGTCGTAAGCAGTTTCCCTCCCCCTTGCGAGGTGCAAGCATCAAAGGATTGATCGACTAACCATGAAACCGAAGCTCTCGTACATTGGCACCTCCCTCAATAACGTTCAAGCCCAGACTTGGGTTCCCAACTCCCTCGCACTCATGCAAGCCGTCGTCTCTCCGCTCTTTTCCTCTGCATCTGATGTCTTTCAGGCGCGCAAGTGGCTTCTCGTTGGGACTTCGGCCATTTCGTTGATTGGCGCAGCCATTGCCCCCGGTTCGACAGATATTTACCGGCTGATCGCAGCTACGGTGCTCATTGGTGTTGGCTTTTCGTCCGTAGGGCTGGCCTTTGCCGTCCCGAGTGAGATCTTGCCGCGGAAATGGAGGCCTAGTAAGTTTGACCACTCATCCGAGCGCCGCAGGCTTGGGGGAGCGTCATGTGTTGACACTTTGGTTATAGTGTCCCAGGCAGTAATGAATATTGCCGCTTGTCTCGGTGCCGTAACCGGCCCATTGGTTATCGGGGCATTCACCAAGGCGGATGAGATGAATGGTTGGAAGAATTTCTATGTATGCCAATAACTATCCTACCTGAATATATGACCAGCACTCTAAACATCAATAGTGGGTGCAAATGGCCCTCTGGGGCGCCACGGCAATAGGAATCTTCTTTGGCTATCGGCCCCCAAAGCGACATACTCGACTCGACCACCTCTCCATCTGGCAAAAGCTCACGCACCTGGATCTACCGGGGTTTGGTCTACTCACAACTGGGCTCACTTTGTTCCTAGTCGCTTTGAACCTCGGAGGCGGTTTATTCTCATGGACAAACGCCCGTGTGCTGTCTCTGATGATCATTGGATTGGTAATCATAGTTTGCTTTGGAGTGTACGAGTGGAAAGGTACAAAGACAGGCATTCTGCATCATGAGCTCTTCCAAGGAGGGAAAGCAGCTGGCCGCACGTTTGCCCTCTGCATTGTCCTCATGTTGATCGAAGGCATACTATTGTTCTCATATGTCATTTTCTATCCTATCATGTAAGCGTCTCGATCCCCTTTCATGGTCTCTTCTCATCACAATCAACCTGACAATGCCGGGTAGGACATCTCAGCTCTTTGAAAAAGATCCTTTCCTCCTTACCGTCAGGGGCCTGCCTTTCTGGGTTGTCTCCGGCTTGTCCACCGCCGTGTGGGGTTACTGGAGCATGCGGCTCGGGACCGTTCGCACGCCGCTCTTCACCGGCTTCCTAATCTACACGGCCGGACTTGTCGGCCTCGCCACCATCAGGCCCCGCGACGATCTCAGATGCCTCATATTCGCCGGCCTCGCCGGTCTCGGCTTCGGCGCCCCGCTAGTCCTGATCACAGCGGCCGTCCAGCTCTCGACGCCGCACCACCTGATCGCCACCGCCACCGCCGTAGCGACCTCCGCCCGGGCGGTTGGCGCGACAGTCTTCACGGCCATATACAGCGCTGCTTACGGCTCCGTTATTGGTGTGAAGTTGCCCAATGGCATCACTAGCGCCGCAATCAAGACGGGCCTCGAGGCTGACTACGTCCCCTCGTTCATTGGCGCCCTGACATCGCAGAATACCACAGCACTATACGCGATTCCAGGAGTCAACTCCACGATCATCGACGCGGTCATGGGAGCTGAGAACCAGGCGTATGCTGACTCGCTGCATGTCGTCTACTATATCGCGATTCCTTTCGGAGTCGTGGCGTGTTTCATTTGCTTCTTCCTGGGCGATCTGCGCTCGACTATGAACTACCGGGTCGATGCACCCGTAGAGAATCTGACGGCTAGGAGGCACCCCGCTGAAAAGTAAGCAACTTGAAGGCTTTGTATCATAAACGACTGGTGCCTTGTACTGTAGGACGTGAGAAGAAGGAGAAAGGGAGAAATACGACGTTGTCAAACGCGCCAAGCCGAGGCTTGCATATTGCTTTTTTTATTTTGTGTAGTCAGGATTCTGGCTGGTAAACAAACTGATTTTAGTTGCTTTTAGAGCTGCTTTGAGTCATCATCTATCCGGTAGCCAGTTTCGTTCCTGTATATCCATGGTGTCTTCAATTTATGTGTACTGGATTCCCCCCAGAAAGACGATTGACAGGCTCGTTTGGAACATCGTGAAGTCAATCCGTAAGTAAGTTGCGAACTTGTTGTACTATCTTGACATTGATTTCACTGCTCAGTCATGCACTTCTGAAGCACACAGAGCTTCCACGACGCGTTCAGATGTTGCCCAGAGCTCCTGCGCAAGCTTCTCGTCACTGGCATCGCCAGTAAGCGCCTCTATCAAGCCCGGAGGAACCAAGAATGCGCCCTTGTAGATATTCTTCTCAGCAAATATTTTAGGACTGGTACCTGCAAACAGCGCTGTTACAGCTCCTTCAGCTGGTGTCAGCCTGCCATCGAGAGCACCAGGTTCATTCCCCGACAACCAGTTCATAACTCCATCTATGATTAGGAGGGTAATTATTAGTAAACGTAACCCTAAGTAAAGACCTTAAGGACACTCTATACCTGTATTGATTAGCCCTGGATGAAGAGCTATTGAAAAAGCATCGATGTTCGCCCTATCAAAGTTCTTCTGGAGCTGTCTTGCAAATAGAATGTTTGCGAGTTTTGATAGACCTTTGAGCAGCAGTTAGTTCAGAACAGATGAATGACGACTGACATCCCATCCGGAACGAGTGGCAGGATTTCTCACTGTATCGAGTGAAGTCTGCACCGCCAATTATGGTAGGCTCCATTTCGGCGTTGAAACTATCTAAGGAGTCAAATCGAATACCAAGAGGGAGGGTTTTATATGATGTTGCTGCGATCTACGATACAATCAGCCAGAGCATCGAACAACGTAACGGATCATTCATACTGTCACGACCCGAACATCCCTAGTGATCTTCGCCGTCTGCTCCAAGAGAAGCATAAGTGTTTCTGTTAAGACGAAGGGACCAAGATGACTAAGAAATTATTATGTTATCATAGAAAATGAGATAGTCAGGGGAAAACTAACTTGGTAGCGAAAGAAACCGAGATACCATCGGCATTCAGCACCAGCGGCATCGAGATACTAAAGAACATATTAGATTTAGATATAACACGGAGCTTATATAGGGAAAGATATTTTACATAGCAGCATTATGAACCAAGATATCCAACCTGCTCTCCGACTTTAGTATCGCCTGACCAGCGTCTTGGACAGCTTTCACATCCCCTAAGTCGGCGATAAAGGGGACTAGCTGATCTTCAGCAATATTTGGATTCGCCTTTTTCATCTCGTATATGGCTAACTGGGCCTTGGCTTTGCTTCGGGCTCCGATATATACCTTTGCGTTTTTGCTGGCTAGCTGGTAGGCTATATGGAAGCCCATCCCCCCTGGCGAGCTAGATACGTTAGAATGAGGAGATTAAACAAGAAGATGGCTAACAAACTTTGCGCCTGTCACTAAAGCAACCCTACCGGTCAAATTCGGTACGTCATCGCTGATGCGCCATTTCTACTGATTGATTAGCTGGGGTGGATATATCAAGACTCCGACACGTACCGTCATTCCTGTAACGCTGCTGGGCTGATTCGCCATGGTGCAGAGGTTCCAGGTTAGGGTAGGAAGTCTGTCGTCGCTGGAGCTAACGCCAATATGTTGGAACCAACAGAACATAATCCAATACAGGCCATCTTTGGACAATAAAGTTTTTTATATAAGGAGACTACGTTTCCGGCTAGACAAGGCTCGCATCGCATCGCATCACATCGCATCCGGCACAATATGTCGGTCGCAGTAAAGCGAGCCTAAATTAGACTAGGTGCTACTCGGGCTGTCGGCCGCCGCTAAATCATGTTTCACTTGCACTGTTAGGTAAGGCCAGGGCATAATCAGAAACTAGCTGGCGATCTCTGCCCAGATTGTGAGGTAACAGTACTTCACTGAATCGGCATCTAAAACTTGAAAAGTATGTTGACGGGAGCTTGCACGAGCTTCGTTTCCTTAAGCTTTGCTACCACTGGATCTCTTCACCTCGCACATGTGCTAGCTCCTGTCAAATTGTCTTTGATCAGATTAGAGTGAGCATGAGGCTGGTTTAGCTATCTTCTTCGTATGCGATATCTATTGGCTGCATTTGCCTATGAACTGCAAATTGTGAGAAAAAACAGCTGCGAGGCCTGATTTTGCCTGCTCGGAGCCCCTGTCTGGAAGTATCGAAGCGTAAGGAGGCTCATTTATCTTGTCAGCTGGATTGCATGTCGGCAAGCAGAAGTTTTCAGAGGCAATTAGCACAACAAGGCCGGCATCCCAATTTGCCGTGTCATTCGCATGATCACGGTTTTCTTGTTGAGGCATGTGTGCAGCCATGCTCTTGCTCTCGAAGTCGATGGAAGTTGAAGCTCGCGCGAGACTGTTGATCGCGCCGGCTTCCTAGCCTATGCCCTCGACGGATAGTGTGTAGAAGACGTCGCCACCAACGTGCCGTAGAGTTGTGATGGAGCACCATTCATATATCTAGGAAGGGACATTACTAGTCTAATTTGCACATAGTCAACAGCAGGGGTGCCGATAAGAGCACTACCGGATCCTGTTTGTAAGACTTCATATTATTCGCCCATCGTCATCGTCAAGTCCTCCCACGTTCCGTGAAGCATATTGCCAAATAGAAATATGATCCTACCTGGGGTAAAGCAGATAGAGCACTCAGTCATCAAAGTCATGACCATACACCGGATCCGGGAAAAGCCAAAGTTAGAAAGCGTGAGATCTTGGCACTGTTGGCAGTGTCACTTTGCGTCAAACTAGAGACTGTTCCTATCAGCGGAATCTTGCCACGTCGCTAGCACTGAGGAAGGTGATATTGACTGAAAGAAAAAAGAGGTACACCTTGAAAGCACCATGCAGTAACTAGGCTACTACTGTGCACAACATCCTCGGTTTTTGAAATGTACCAAGACATACCAAATACGGGTGTTAAGACTCAAAAATATATCATTAGCCGAACCTGAAATAATGGGCAGATTAGTAAACGTATCACAGATAGCGAGTAATGGGGATATAATGTGTGCTCGGTCGTAGGTATTGACCTATGCTGGAGAAGGACGCTATGTCTAAGACTGGTCCCAGCCGGTCTAAACACAACGGTCTGTCGGGTAACATAACTTACATAGACAGCTCTTAATTGTGCGTAACGTCCTTATGTAGTTTTCCTGGCTCCTCTATTAGACGATTCACCCTAGCCCTGTATAATGGCAGGCGGATCTGGCGAGCAATTGATTAGAAATCCTGGCTCTCGCTAATTCTGAGGCATGTAAGTTGCTGTATGGCTACTTATTAGTGATTGACAAGGGCGTTTAGGCATCAACGTGAAGCCATGGTCTCTACTTATGTTTCTGAGTTTCTCAGACGTGGGAACCTGACTTCAAACACGATGTCCGACTAATAGTGTAATTGCCCACAATACCCAACTCGCAAACGTAAACTGCATATCATCATTTCTCACAACCATCATACCAGGTTAGGGTTCAAACAATGGAGACCAACAAAAATGTCTCAATGAAGAAGGAAAAGGAGGAGAGAGAGAGACCAAAAAAAAAAAAAAACGTACAACACCAGGGATTCGCTGGTCGTCACCGACCCAACTACTAGTCTAGCCCTCAGCAGCTTGTCAATTGGCAGAGCGAACGGGATGCCGAATTCTCTACTGGGTATGGTCGTACGTGTTAGTTTTCGTTCGAGTTCTGGCTCTTATTGACTGGACAAGTCTTCTGGCCCTGGTCATCACGAGGCTACGCCTGGCTTGGAATGTTGAGTATCCACATCCCGCAACAGAAGGGGTGATCCGTCATCAAACATGACCCGTACAATAAAGTGGATTATGGGATCCTAAGATTGTAAGTATTCGACAGTTGACACACATCGGATTAGTAGTAACAAGGGCAACCAGATCAGAGTCATTCCGGTAAGCCAGGCCCTGAGTGAAGATATACAGAGTGTTCACCAGCCTAACTATTCTAGTTCATCTGTGTAATCCGAAATCTTAGAGGACACTATAGAAAATAAGGGCTCAGTCAGAATACTATATGACAGAAAACCGAGCGCAGGCGTGCCTGTAATTAAACCTAATAATTAGAGAAACAATTTGAGCATGGTAGAAAAGGAGTTATAGCTACAAAGCGACCGAAACATTACAATGCTTATTACCACCTGCACTCCTCGTTGTCATACAACTAATCTACTGTCCTGACACACCCTTTACACCTTTTAGACACGTCGTTAGAGGGGCCGGGTCGTACGTAGGTCGCATTTATGCGATCTTGAATTGCACGCGCTTGAAACCGTCATGGTAGTTCAGGGCATCCCGGCTCTGCGTCATTATCCTCTGTATAGTTTATCAGAAGCCTCGAACGAATCATTGACGGCGGACAGGGAATGCCTCATCCGAACGGTCCAGACAATGCAGTAGTTGACATGGGTAGGAGATGACGGCGGACAAACCCGAGACCGAGACCGAGTGTGGATCTCATCGCTTTCCCCACAGCGTTCTTGGCATACGGCTGAGCCATGACACCTCACAGCGACAAAGACACTTTGGGTATCCCTCGCAGTCATGCAGACTGTATCAGCTTTTATTTCTATATTCTACATCTAGCTGGGCCCGGTCGTCAACGATAAAGAACAGAGCTGGGTTCACATCTAGGAGCAAAGTGCATCGTGTCTTTCTACTTCATCAGACGGCACTCCGAGTAACAAGCAACTGAATATTGAAAAAATCTGGAAATTTTTGTTCGCACATTCCACCTCTGAAAATACAAGTATTCCTCGAAGCGCCTTCCTAGCATTGTCCAATTGCGAATCCTCCTGCTTTGAAGTCGGTAGTGACTTATGTCTTAGCCTTTCAGATAATGGCACAGATGACTAGTACGAAGAGCAGATCTTTTGCAACAAGGATGCTTGAGGCAGCTCCGCTGGAAGCGGCACCTGGAGATGAGGTTTGGGATACAACAGACGACGCTGTTGCCGGGATAGCAGTGGAAGAAGCTGTGTTGATTGGCCAAAACCAGTTACTCGTAGCCGTAGCAGCGCCTATAGATGCGCACAGCGAAGCCGCGGCGCTCTGAGCCTCGATTACTTGGCCGACATTGCATTTCGTAAATAGGCACGATCCGGCGTCACTGGCAACTGCTCCCTGATTGTTGGAAGAACACCAGCAGGCCGC